CTTTCTCTTTACTGAGGGGCTTTCAAAGCCATGACCTGGGGTGCTCGTGACCTCAAGGGCTGCCTGTGCTTATTTGTTTGTTTATTTTTCAATGACAGTTGACACTCGCTGTTGCTTTGCATTGGTCTCATATACTTTAGGAATAGACAAGCATATATTTTACATGGTGGTTCCCCTGATATTTCCAGGACAAAGGGCCAATGTGTTGTTGTTGTTGTTTTAAATATCGCTTTTCAGTCAGTAAACACGGGGTCCTGCCACATTTCCACAGCTGCCAAGGGCTAGTCCCTTCCAAGTTTCAGGCCAAATTTATTTCTGTGAGCGAGAGTCTCCTTGATAGGAGCACCACGAAGCAGCAGGTAGGAAAGAGAGGAGCCTCTGGGGTGACTCGTCTTCTCGGTCGGGCCCATGAGACGGCTGAGCTGGTGAGCTTGGGTTGTTATTGCTTTTGCATGCCTGGCTTGGCTCGTGTGTGACATAGAGTTGTTGGTGAGATTGCCTAAATCTGCTCGTGGGGAAGTATTTCCTTCCAACACATTCTAGCACATGGTTGTGACTGAGGAGACTAGGGGTGCTTCTGACTCTATCATCATCACCAGCACCATAATTTATATTCTCATTATCACTGTCGTTATCATTATTATTAATGTTATCAATATCCTCACCATCATCACTACCATCACTATCATCATTATAATCACCATCATCATCATCACCATCACCACCATCATCATCACCATCATCACCCTCATCATCATCATTATCACCATCATCACCATCGTCACCATCACCATCATCACCATCATCATCATCATCATCATCACCGTCACCATAATTATCACCATCACCACCATCTTCATCATCACCATCACCATCATCACCATAATTATCACCCTCATCATCATCACCCTCATCATCATCATTATCACCATCATCACCATCACCATCGTCACCATCACCATCATCATCATCATCACCATCATCATCACCATCACCATCATCACCATCATAACCATCATCATCACCATCACCATCACCACCATAATTACCATCACCATCACCATCACCATCATCACCATAATTATCACCCTCATCATCATCACCCTCATCATCATCATTATCACCATCATCACCATCACCATCGTCACCATCACCATCATCACCATCATCACCATCATCATCATCACCATCACAACCATCACAATCATCACCTCACCATCATCATCATCACCATATCATCACCATCACCATCATCACCATGATCATCACCATCATCACCATCATCATCATTATCACCATCATCACCATAATTATTACCATCACCATTATCACCATCACCACCATCACCATCATCATCACCATCATCATCACCACCATCATCACCATCATAATTAATACCATCTTTACCTTTGCTATGCCCTGAATTGTGTCCCTCCAAAATGTATGTATCAAACCTTTAACCCCCAATGTGACTGTATTTGAAGATAATGTTTTTAGGAGGCAATAACAGTTAAAAGAGGCCATGACAGTGGGATCTTAACCCCATAGAATTGCTAACTTTATAAAAATGTTTGTTTCTGAATTCTGGAGGCTTGAACTGTACGATCGGGGTGCCGGCCAAACCCTGATCGAATTCCGTTCCTGGATTATGGGTGACTTCCTTCTCAGTGTGTTCTCACGTGATATAGGCTTCCCCCCTCTGTCTCTTCCTCTCTGTCTCTCTCTCTCTTTTTTCATGAGGACACCAGTCATTGAATTAGTCCCACCTCAATCCAGTACGGCCTCATCTTAACGCGATTACGTCTGTAAAACCCTATTCCCAAGTACAGGCGTCTGCGGTTTAGGACTTTGGGGGGAGCACCATTCACCCCCTACGGATGACGTGGAAGGCAATGGTGGGGATTAAGGACACATGAGCTTGGCCGTCTCTCCTTCACGGAGAATCTTGTCTCCCCTGGGCTCACTGGATCGCATCCCTGCCCGGGCGGAACAAGTATCAGCGAGCAAGCTGAGAAGGGTGTTGTTACCTTGTGTTCCCTCCAAGAGCCAAATGAGCCCAAGGCGATCAGACCGGGCTCATGGATAATTCAGTCTCCACCAAGCGGCGGTCTGTCAGGGACACCAGGGCTGTTAGTCTTCACATATTTACTGCAGTCTGGAGCTCTTTACAGCAGAGTCTGACTTTCTGCAAATCCCAGAAGATGACAGGCCTTTTCGGGAATCTTCTCCTCGAGCAAGAGGTCGGGCTGCCTGAGCAAGTTGCAAACTGGAAATGTATACAGCCCGGGCCCCTTACCGTAGGGGGGAGCCAGAAAATAAACCCAGCTCTCCAAATGTAAGCGGAGACCCCTTATCTGAGGCAGGTCGAGTTACCTGCGGTCACCTCCACCTGCTCTTAATATCAACCAGGAGCTGGGCTCCCAGGTACATACCTGGGTGAGCTACCAGGTGTACAGTCTAATGATTAAATACACATTCTGAAATGATTGTCACAATCAAGCTCGTTAACCCATCATCACCTCACCCAGCTACCGTTCTTCTGTGGTGGTGAGAACTTAGCCAATTTCAAGTCTATGATACAATGTTTTAAGCTCTGTCACCTTAGATTACATTACATCCCAGAATCTAATCATCTTATACCAAAAGGTTGTACCCTTCAACTAACATCTCCACATCTTCTCCTCCCCACCACCCCTATTTCTATGAGTATTACTCTTTTATAAATGTTTTTTTTTTCTTTATTGACTTTAGAGAAAGAGGAAGGGAGAGGGAGAGAGAGAGAGAAACATCAACGAGAGAGAACATGGACTGGCCACCTCCTGCATGTCCCCCACTGGGGATCAGGCCCACAACCTGGGCATGTCCCCTGACCGGGAATCGAACCAGCAACCTCTTGGTGCAGGGTCGATGCTCAACCACTGAGCCACACCAGCTGGGCGAGTTTTACTCTTTTAGAGTCTGCATCTAAGCAGGAATTTTACAGTATTCGTCTTTCTGTGCCTGGCTTAGTTCACTTATTAGCGTATTGAATGCAAGGCCCATCCATATTGCTGTGAATGGCAGGCTTTCCTTTTTCCTGGCTGAATAATATTCCTTTGTGTGTATTGTGTGTGTGTGTGTGTGTGTGTGTGTATGTGTATGTGTATATATATATATAGCATTGGTATCCATTCACCCATCCATGGAGAGCTAGGTTGTTTTTATATCTTGACTATTCTGATTAATGCTGCAATGAATCTTACAACTAGACATTTCTACCTTCGTTATCTTTTTCCAGGTGAGAGGTTGTTAGCAAAATTCTTCATGTCCCGTTATACAAAGTAGGAGAAAATTCAGTCAGTCTTTAATTTTTCCATAGAGCCTAAAAGTTAAAGATGTTAACAGGAACATCTCGAATCTGTAGATGTTAATGAAATATTGCAGCTCTTTTTAAGTATCGAGATAATTCTTTATAAGGGGAAGAAAGGAACTGTTTCCCCTATCTGTTCTGAGAAAGAGACAGTCCAAGGCAGTACAGAAAAGGGAGAATCCCAATTTAAAAAAAAATAATTACCAGTCAAATAATCAGACAACTCCACCATCCTTCTGGGTCCCTCTTGGCTGTTCACCCAGCTGTCCTCTAGGTGGAGCTAGAGGCTAATTTTTTTTGCAAATCATGGCTCAGCTGCGCAGAAAATCCACCCAGAAGCCCTCTCTCTGCCCCCTTTAAACCCCCAATTTCCCATGCCCCTTAATGAGAGAGGCCTCCGGTGCAATTAAATGGACAACGAACCCACAAAAGCGTTGCAAACCCTTCAAACCTTTGCAAGAGCAGGTGGAAAAGACAGCGGTACCTTTCCCCACGGAGCAAAAGCACTTGCTGATTTATGCACATCAAGTAGCTGTGGGGTCCTTACGGGGCGCACGGAGACAGTTATTGAGGAGATGCTTCACTCATCCTGTTTAATATCATTTTCTGGGACGGCAGGCATCGTGGGTTCCGGGAGCAAAAAGCAGCAGGAATAACAGATCGCAAATTAGACTCTATTGGGGTAATGGTGTTTGCAAGGGAAGAGGTCGGCTGAGACAATGTTGCCGTCTTGATCCAAGGGGCGGGGATACTGTATCCGTTGTAATCAGCTAAGATACTATGTAGCATCCAGTGTTCATGCTTCTCCCGCGAAGGAATATGATTTTTTTATTTGGTGTTTTTCTGTGTGTGTGTGTGTTCATGTTTTTGTTTTTATTGCCCATTCTGACAACACAGTCATTAATTTTTTTTAACAACAAAAAAGTCACCTTTCGCAATTATTTTACCCAATGAATACACATGTTGAAATAGATTTCTATTTTGTTTTGTTCTGAGGCCGGTCTCTTGTATACAGCAGATACATGGGTCTTGTTTTGTTGTCTATTCTGCTACTCTTTGTGTTTTGATTGGAGAAGTTAATATATTTACATTTGCAGTGGTTATTGGGAGGTACGTAACGTAAGACATAGGGGCCTCTGGAAAGTATGTGTTTTGTTTTTTCTTAAATTTTTTTTTTCCTTTATTGATTGTAGAGAGAGGAAGGGAGAGGGAGAGAGAGATAGACACATCGATGAGAGAGAACATTGGCCGCCTCCTGCATGCTCCCCACTGGGGATCGGGCCCACAACCTGGGCATGTGTCCTGACCGGGAATCGAACCGGCGACCTCTTGGTGCAGGGTCGACGCTCAACTGGCTGGACCCCGGCCGGACAGTACATGATTTTTTAAACACTATGCTGCTAATCTGAAACAGACACAGAATAATATTGAATGTAAACTGTAATTGAAACATTAATATATATATATAATAATCAAATACTTGTATAAGTCAGGGATTTTTATTTTATTTTATTTTCCGATGACAGCAGGTGTGCACCATTATTTTATATTAGTTTCAGGTGTGGTCAGACACCTAGGTCTTCGGTGCTTCTAACAGGGACCCGTGCATTGTCCAGCCCCGCTGACCCGTGCCTTCTGTTCTCCGCCCCAGGACCTGGACCCTCTGCGGGACGCCCGAGTATCTGGCACCTGAAGTCATCCAGAGCAAGGGCCACGGCAGAGCTGTGGACTGGTGGGCCCTGGGGATCCTCATATTTGAGATGCTTTCGGGGTGAGTAACGGCTTCTGAGGAAACTGGGGGTCACACTCTCCGTCCTGCTCCCTTGCCCTGCTCTGTGAACCCCTGGGATGGTGCATTCAGCTTGCAAAGTCTTGGGGTACAGTTCCCTTGCAAATTGCACTGCTGACTTTGGCGGTGCCCCAATAATGGAGCTGGCTTCCTACAAGCGAAACCACAGCCCGGTTTGTCGAACAGGTACTGGGCACATCTGTCGGGCTTTGACCCGTGTCTAAATGCCCCCCTTTCTTCTGTGGGTATCGTCTTCACCTTCTGCGTGGACTTTTGGGGAGCTGGGTAAGGCACCTCTCCCTGTGTCCCCTGCCCTGAGCCTCCGACACGCTGACTTTACTCCTAGTTACGGCGAATCCCAGACACACACGGCTCTGTACCTGTCAGATGCAGGGAAAGTCCACAGATTTGTACCCACGCCTCCCATGCACTTGGAAAGAAAAGTGGAATGAGGCATTTTTCTGCATGGATGGTGTGGCCAGCGTGGAGTCTTTGAAAATCTGTATTTATTTTTCTGTCTGTCTGTCTATCAATTTATCATCTATTTTTCGATTATCTCTGTTCATGTATATATTATATATCCATCTATCATTTCTATCATCTATTACTTATCATTTATTTAGCTACCTATCTGTGTACGTATCTAGGTATCTCTCTATAATCTGCCTATCTATGTATTTATTTATATATCTATCTATCATCTGTATACCTACCAATCTACGGTGTCTATCCACCCACCTCTCTCTTTCTATCTATCACCATGTATCATCTATTACCTATTATCTACCTACCAATGTATCTACTTATCTATCTATCCACCCATCTATCATCTGTTTGTTTATACCTCTGTTTACCTATTTGTTTATTCAATGTCCATTCATCTATCCATCCATCATTTATCCATCCATGTAGCAATTATCTATCTATCTATCTATCTATCTATCTATCTATATCTATCTATCTATCTATCTATCTATCTATCTATCTATCTATCTATATCTATCTGTCTATATGTCTGTCTGTCTATCTATCTATTCATCTATCTATCCATCCATCTATCTATGTATCTATGTATCTATCTATAAATCTATCTATTACCTATCTATCTATCTACCTATGAATCTATCTATATCTATCTGTCTATATGTCTGTCTGTCTATCTATTCATCTATGTATCTATCTACCCATCCATCTATCTATGTATCTATCTATGAATCTATTATCTATCTATCTATCTATCTATCTATCTATCTATCTATCTATCCATCTGTCCATCCGTCCATCCACTCATCTGTCCATCTACCTACCTACCAATGCTCTCTACCACCTATGTATCTACCTATTTATCCTTTAGAATTCACCACTACTTTTGACTCAAATATCTCTAGCAACTCACACGGAACCACATTCCCTACTCTACACTCCAGCCCGGGGAAGTTCCCAAACAACAACAACAACAAAAGTTAAAATACATGAGGCAGAGAGTCAACCCATCAACACGATGCAATGATTGGAAATAACACCCAGGGTGACCAGGCCCCAGCCGCACGCCTTCCTGCTGTGGCGTTACTGACCGCTAGAGGGCAGTGTTGCCTGACGAGAATTTAGTCCAATGCAGGCGGGTCCCCGTTTTGTCTGTATTATTTTATTATTAGGAGGGAATATGATATTACAAATATAACAGCAGGCAATATTGCTACTCAATACAAATTACAACAGAGTACCCTGTGGAACATAATATTAGTCATGGACTTTAATACCAAATCTTTAAAATAGAATACATTCGGATACGTAACGACGATTATATCAGGACTATTATAGAAATCATTAGAGTTATCAGGATATGATTAAAATAAGACATCTTATGATATCAGAATCTATTATAGTATTAGAAAATAGGATGTTTCTGATACTCTATTAGCATAATGGACAAGGAAACAATAGCATTAGAATTTCATTTATACTTTGGCTACAATTATGTCTATGTATAAACTTACCCAAAAGAATAATAATGTCAATGACGAGCACACGTAAGATGTTAATGGAAGAATAGCTGTCCTTCATAGAATTAAAAATATTCAGTGACAAGCATGGTTTTGTTTCATATTTTTGCTAATCTCAAATTCATCTGCTAAGTAGCTAAGTATCCTGCCTGTTTGGTTTTTATTTTTTTTTATTTTTTGGTTATTATGATTGGTAGGTTGTTTAGGTTGAGCTCTATGAAGAAAATGCTTCCATATTCAGATTTGTCGTCAGAAAAGGGAAAAAAAATCAAGGCCCTCATAAAAGTCTTGCGTGGGCCTTGAGGAACCTCAGGGTTCCTTGGGGCAGCACTTTGAGAACCACGGCCATCATGCCTCAGAAAGGTTGTGCGGAGATGACTTTTGATTCTCCGCTGTCCCCTGACCCGTGCCCAGCCCGGGGCTTTGTTCTCCGTACTTTTCCTGGCTCCCGACTTTGGTCTTGCCTCTCCAACCTCAGGCACCCCACTTTTTTCCCACCCTGAGAAGCGCAGATTTTGTTATTTCATGCACATGTACATGGCCAAGGATCTTGGAGGGAGAGGTCAAACCGGGGTGAAATGAAAGCACCCCCCCCTTTCTATGATCACCCAAACTGTCCCACGCGGAGCCGTGATGTAGCATCAGGCAGATTTGGTGCATCAATTTATCGTGTGGGTTCCTCGTGGCCGTGGGCCTTGTGGCCCATGCAGGGGAGCATGCCCCCTGCAACGGGGGTCCCCAAAGGACCACGAGAACCCAGAGACTAAGAGAGGGCATACCCTGTGTTCAGGAGGTTAAATACTCAGATTTCAGGCTCTTGCCGTGACACCCCCTGATGGGCCCCAGCGCCCAGGCGAGGGCCCCTGCAGGACAGCGTCCATCCGCCTCTGGGCCGCCGCCACCCCCTCCGTCACCACGGTGGCCGCCCGCCAAAAAATAAACATTTCTGTTTCAACAGGTTCCCTCCCTTCTTCGACGACAACCCGTTCGGCATTTATCAGAAAATTCTTGCCGGCAAAATCGATTTCCCCAGACATTTGGATTTCAATGTAAAGTAAGTGAACTGCTGGGCTCGTCTTTGGGACGTTTATTTTTATAGAGTCAAAAGAAAAAAAGAAAAAGAAGAAGAAAAGTCCCAGGCCAGGCCTCGGCCCAGCGGGAGACTGTATTTCGCTCTGCGGAGGGATGTGTTCAAGGTCTTTGGACAAGCTCATGATTTCCACAGGAAGGAAAAAGGGTTTTGATCCTCTGCCTTAAAGATATTTAACCCCTTCATGAGCCTTGGCTGTTATGGGTACGTTGTGAGACGCCCGCTGTTTAGCGTCGGCACATAACGGACCCTGGTCCTATGTGACGCAAGGTTGTGGGGCGATTTGCGCATCCAGTACACCCATTTCCAGCTAATTTAGCAGTTGGCGTCCGTGCTGATGAGTTTAGCAGACCGTGTGATTTCTCTCCGGTTGGAATTATTCATCAAGTCCTCTTTGAGGCTCAGCGTTGGGCTTAGGAGCATTGCCCTTGGAGAACTATATTTGGATCCTCACCCGAGAATATTTTTTCTGTTTATCTTCAGATAGAGGGGAGGGAGGGAGAGAGAGGGGGGGTGGAGAGAGAAACATCGACTGGTTGCCTCCCGCACGACCCCCACCAGGGTGGAGGCCGAACCGCAACCGAGGTCCGTGCCCTTGGTCGGAATCGAACCCGAGACTCATTGGTCTGCGGGCCGACGCTCCAACCGCTGAGCCCCACCAGCCAGGGCCGCCTCAAGGACTTTTGTGTTGCCTCAATATTACTTACTTGGGGGCTGCCTGTCGTTAAGATACCCGTGACCACCGGGGAAGTAACTTTTGCAAAACCAGGGAAGAATGCTCTCGGTTTTCCGGGTACCTTCCCAACCTCATCACCTCTGAGCCGCTTTGCGTCACACTGAGCCCAGATTCTGCTTATGGCCGATGAATCTGTAGATCAGCACCATGTATAGTTACGACGGATAGTTCAGACCTAAGTTTTCCGCCTGTTTGCTATTTATTGATTGATTTTAGAGAGAGAGAAAGAGAGAGATGGAAACATCGATGAGAGAGAACATCGACGGGCCGCCTCCTGCGCGTCCCCCAACTGGGGATCAGGCCCCCAACCTGGGCATGTGCCCTGACCGGGCATCGAACCGGTGACCTTTTGTCCGGACAGAAAGGAAAAATACAGGGTCGAACTTTTCTCCCCTGGGGTCCAGATCCCGCCGGAGCTGAGCGATAGTGTTTTCAATGCCCAGCGAAACACGCTGGTTTTGTTTGCTCGTCTGAAATGCCACCTCTACGGGCGGGGTCTCTGTTGCGTGCGTTCCCAATCCGAGGAGGTCAGTGTGGTCGGCGTTTGGGGTTTTTCCTTTTGTTTTCGAAAGTCTCCTGGCTGCCCTGAGGGCCTTCCTTCTTCCCTGTCGGATTGGGAATCGGGACCGAGAACCGGTTTTTGGGGTCCGGCTTCTGCACACGTTCTTGCAGGGCTGGTGTTGCCGCTGTATTGAATTTGCTCAGTCAGGAACATGACCCCAGCACGGTTGTCTTCCGCGGACGTGTCCCCTCTCTGCCACCGAAGCCCAGCTTTTACCCCTAGGAAGGTACACGCCTTGCCCGGCGTCAAGACAAAGTATCTCAAAGGCGAGGACATTAACCAGACGTCTCCAAGGAAATATCACTTAGTTTATCGTCACGGTCAAGTCAGGGATTTCCAAGTGCGTCGCGGAGGATCAGAATCCATATCTCCTGGGATCTTCATCAAAATGCCGGAAAAACACTTTTAAAATAGAGCTACCTGTTTATCAATCGTTTGCTCGTGATTTGATGGGGTTCAAAGCTACTCGCAGGCATTGGCACGTCCGAGAGCTCATGGTGAGCGGAGGCCACGTAGAATTCTCCCGGGTGACCCGGCAGGCGGGGAACCTCCCTACCTGGCTGGGCACAGACGCCCCGGGGTCGGGGGACGGGCGTCCTTGGTGACTGTCACTCCTCGAGGTCGTAGGCAACTCAGAAGGTCATCCGAGCTATTCTCCTTTCTCGTGCAAAGAATGACCTGAACTCTTCTGGGACAAGTGTCCCCAGAGCAGGGACGATCCTTGGGCCGTGGATGACGACATCCGTGGACAGGGCTGACATCACTTGGGTTCCTATTCTGAGAGGATGGTGTTTGACGGCTTGTTTTTGTGTCTGTGTGTGTTTGGGTCAAAATAATTTAGCCCGGACGGTGGGGCTCAGTGGATTGAGCGTCGTTCATGGACAGAGAGGTCCCGGTTCGATTCCCGGTCAGGGCAGGTGCCCGGGTTGTGGGCTCGATCCCCAGTGGGGGGCGTGCGGGTGACCCATCTTTCTCTTTCCCATGAATGTCCTCTCTCTCTTCCTCGCTCTATAAAATCAAGAAGAACCTACTTTAGGCGCACAATCAACTGTAAGTGAGCCGATACTCTCGGATTTTCACTGCGACGCAGAGATGCGCGTCCGTCCACCCTCCTTAGGACCCGCGGGGTTGGGCCGCTGCCCACAACTGCTTCTTGCTGAGGCTTGAGATTAACGTGACCAACGGTTTTGGAGAAAGGAGATGTGTTTTGGGCAGGGAGGGCCTGGCAGGTGTGTGTGAAGTCCAGCCGTGGGGTTCGCAGGGCAAGGTGTGTTGTGTCACAGTCTGGGCCCCGTTTTCTGCAGAGACCCCATCCACCTCTGTCCCCCTGAGCTCAGTCCCTGTGTGCACACGACCCAGAATCACGTCAATGATTTAGGAATCGATGAGGGTCTAGAAACATAAAAGACAAGTGCTAGAAAAAGGTCCCAACACCGAACCGCTGTCCCCGCGCACATGCCCTGGGTAGATGTTCTTAGGTGTCGACGTGCCCGGTTCACGCAGGGCTGCATCAGGATTTTGTTGTTGTTGTTGTTGTTGTTTTACGAATGTTGTTTCCATTACAGAGACCTCGTTAAGAAACTCCTCGTGGTGGACAGGACCCGGCGCCTGGGCAACATGAAGGTGAGGGTGTCTCCTTGCGTAGGAGGTGGTTTTGTGATGACTCCCTGCGCGGACGCTGCACATCTCTACAGACAGACAGACAGAAACACATACACGGTGTCCAGGTCGACTCGTTGGCCGAATTTCAAATCTGTGTTTCTGGGCAAAATCCGTCCGGGGGTACACCCCGTCTCCTCCGGTGTCCATACAAGTGAATGACTCAACTGTGATCTACAGTGATCAATTAATGATCTATCATCTGTCTGTCTGTCTGTCTATATCTATCTACTGATGTATCTATCATCTGTCTAACTATCTATGTATCTATGTATCTATTTATCTATCTACCTATCTATGTATCTATCATCTATTTATTGATGTATCTATCATCTATCTATCTATCTATTTATTTATCTGTCTATCTACTTATTTATCTATCTATCTATCTATATCTATCTATCCATTGGTATATCTATAATCTATCTATCTATCAATCATCTATCTGTCTATCTATCCATTGATATATCTATCTATCATCTATATCTATTGGTATATCATCTATCTATCATCTATTCTATCATCTATATCTATTGATGTATCTATCATCTGTCTATCTATTATCTATCAATCATCTATATCTATTGGCATATCATCTATCTATCTATGTATCTATCTCTTGGTATATCTATCTATCTATCTATCTATCTATCATCTATATCTGTCTATTATCTCTTCTGTCTGTCTTTCTATCATCTCTCTCGATATCCTAATACCTTAGTTTCTGTACTACAGTTGGGACGACTTGAGAGTAAACGTCAAGTCTTCCATGACGTCTCTCAGCATCACTTACGGTAACATTCAACAGAGATATGTTGTTGGACTTAGATGTGGACGAAACATACTTGTTTCATCTAATAAAAAAAAAGAATTATCAAAATAATAGGATTAGGGAGAAAAGGGGGAACACTTCACACCAACATTTCTTTCTTTTTGTACTTGAGGCTAGTGAGAATTGTCTTTTCTGTGGATGAAAACGATTAAAACTTTAAAAATGATGGCCCTGGCCGGCGTAGCTCAGGGGAGGGAGCCTCGTCCCATGGACTGAGGTCCGGGTTCGATTCCCGGTCAGGGCCCAGGCCCGGGTTTGGGGCTCGATCCCCAGTAGGGGGCGTGCAGGAGGCGGCCCATCCATGTTTCTCTCTCACATCGATGTTTCTCTCTCTCTCCCTTCCTCTCTCTCTAAAATATATACATACATTTTTTTAAATTATGAATCGGACATCCTTCAAGTCCTAATCCTGGGCCTTCCTGGCTGGACCGTACGGAGACTCTTTGGTCAGTAATCGAACCTCCGTGTCTCTGTTCGATGAAGATCATAAACACCCAAGAAAAACGCGATAAAAGCAGGTGACCAGCTCAGAAATCGCCGGCCGTCTCCCTTGCCGTGGAGAGGCTGGTCCGTCGGGAGGCCTCACGCTTGGCTCCTCCGTCCGGGTCAGCAACCCCGGGCAGGACCGACGGCGTCCGTGCACCAGGGAGGAGACGCGGAGACGCAAAAACAGCCTCCTCGAGACGCGTCCCCAACCCCTCGCCCGGCGGAGACAGTGACGGCCAAGCGCGCCGACGTTTCTCTCTGTCTCTGTGCTTTGACTGACGAAAGCTGATTCTTGAGGGAACTGTCTCCCCCTGACGTCATCCGTGTCTTTCTTTTTCAAGAACGGAGCCGAGGACGTGAAGAGGCACCGCTGGTTCCGGACGGTGGACTGGGAGGCTGTCCCGCAAAGGAAACTCAAGGTATGGCCACGGCGACGGGCACTTTGTCGCCGCTGTTAAGCCTCGCCTGAGGATACTTTTCCGTTATTTCTTTCTTAAATATGTCTTATTGATTTTTTTTTAGACAGAGAGGAAGGGTGAGAGAGAGAGAAACATCGATGCGAAAGAGAAACATCGATCGGCCGCCTCCTGCACGCTCCCCACTGGGGATCGAGCCCCAAACCCGGGCCTGGGCCCTGACCGGGAATCGAACCCGGACCTCTCCGTCCGTGAGATGACGCTCAACCCCTGAGCCACACCGGCCGGGGCCCCGGGCACCTCGTAGCGTGGCGTCCTCACAGATAGTTACAAACGTCTCTGACTCCGCCACTTATTTGCTTGTGTGAGATCCATAATGAATGTGGATCACCTCAAACTATTGATAAGCACGTCACCTGTTCGGGGGATAGCTCAGCACTCAAGGGGCATCTGGCCGGGATGGGGGAGGGTTAAGATCTGGGGGTCAGCAATGGGACTTGGGGAGCTATCGGTCCATTTCGCAGTAGCTCTGTGCTCATGGGTCCGACCTGCCCACTGTTTAGTGGGGAAGAACACAGGTGCGGGTTTCTCTAGACTCAGGGATATTTTGGGGTGATGGTGGGAGATTAGGTGCAGGAGGGTCGTGGGACTGTCTTCCTGTCTGAGTACATGTTTGAAAGCATTCCTCCAAAGCAGTGTTCTCAACGGGGTACTTTAGAGTCACTGAGCGATGATAAAATGGTTCATGCCGGGGCCCCCCTCTGGGGTCACCCCACACCACCAGGGTGGATGAGCTCCGGACGGTCCCTCCGTAGAGGGGCTCAGCAACCTCAGCGGGATCACGATGTCTTTCTAACGCGGCCTTTGCCTCTTGCTAATTCCGCAGCCCCCCATCGTACCCAAAGTGTCTGGGGAGGGCGACACCTCCAACTTCGAATCTTACCCTGAACACGACTGGAACGCAGCCCCGCCGGTGTCCCCCGAGGATCTGGAAGTCTTCAAGAATTTCTGAGCACGGGAGTCCACGCCGGGCAGGTAGGCCTGACCCCGTCGTCACTCAAACCATTTCTAAAAAGTAACACGAACACGAGATACACGTGATAGAGGACAGATGACCGGTGTCACCCCAACCAAGTTTATACAGATTGAAAACAAAGAAAGACCCTGGAGAAAAACAGAGAGGTTGATCGTTGGGTTTCGTTGGTGGCGGTGTTGTTATTATCACGTGATTGACGCATTTCTGGAGACACTAACCGAGTCCTTTGTCCTGTTTCACGGCAGAAACGGGATGATTTGAGCCTTCCTTGGGACAGAGAGGGTCGCGGCCTTGAAGAGATGCCTCCTGGACGTGCCGGGGACCGTCCCCCACGTGTCCACGCCCTTGTGTATAAAAACGCAGCGGTGCGCGGTGCGTCACCGCGGGCCTACCTCCCGTTCATGAAGCAACTGGAAGTCTATGGCACAGTAGGAAAATTGGAAAAATTGTCTGCTTGTCCATTGTACCTTGTTCTTTGGCCTGGGTTCCTACCGTGTGGACACCTTTACGCGTTTGAGACTCAGCTTTATGCGTTTGAACGGAGCGTGTTTGGTCAAAACTGCGGATGGTGCGTGCACGGGCGCGTGCGGGTATGTGTGTGCGTGTGTGTGTGTGTGCGTGTTTATGCCTAAAAGATAACATGGCAGAAACCACGTGTCCAGGTCAATATTGACACCTGGCGGAGCCTACCGTGTTTCGTTTTCCAATTTCTTTCTGAAGCAGCTGTTCTCTGGGGAACAACACCTTTTGGGTTTTATCACCTTCTCCGCCTTCTTAGTCAACGGTGAAGAAAACACCACGTGGCATGTTATCTCTGGTCTCTCACATGCTTCCTATTCGGTCATGGTGGGTCCTGAGACTAGAAGGAAAAGGGAAAGTGACTTGGGTTTCCATTTTTGTCCGAGAATAGCCCGTGACCACTCATGTTGTTCCCGGAATAGGGTGCCCCGAAGAAATTGTCTGTATCCCCCAAAACTCCACGTTGCCTCGCGGGAAGGCTCCCTGTAAAAACCCCAGTTGAAGTCTCTTGAACACAATGTACATCCCAACGCTAACAGGGTAGTTGAAATTGGGTCAGTGGCATGGATGACCTTCCGGCACAGGTGACTTTTCCATTTTCATTTGGAGGAAAAGCCAGAAACACGTGAGCTCTGGGAGTCAAAGGAACTTCACGGTTTATGTTCAGTTTTGTTATTTCTATTTTTTTCTCTCTTTGTATAAAGGGTCAAGTTGAGAGTCTCCCACACAATCAGGTCCCATAGATCTGGCAGGCTTGGGTGACGTCATCTGGGTGGGATTGCTTGTCCTTGGACCTGATTATGATGACGCCTTGACGTGAACCCTACAAACACTTCTCCTTAGGGTTGGCTTCCTGACAGCCAGAGGTTGGGGTCGCTGTCATCAGTGTGTCCTCAGAGGCTGACCTTCCCCAAACCGGGGCGCTCAGACAGGTCCTTGGAGCCTGCGTTATCCATTGTCTATTTTCTTCTCTACTCTTCGGCCTCAGCTTTGGGGTTCCGCACTCTGCGAACCTTTAGTGGGCTGCCCATCGCGGGCCCTTCTGGGTCACCAGAACAGCAGAATTGCCCAAATCCGTTGTGCACCTGCTGAGAGGACTCAGCCATGAGCTTCTCCACGGAGACTTGGCGTCTGAGCATGAAGGAGTAGGTTCCAGAGCCTTCGGTGTTTGCAAAGCTGCACCCACCTGAACTCCAGGACCCCTTCTGCCCCCTGTCTTCCCTCTCCTCCCAGCGAGACCACTGTTTAGGCAGGTTCCGTGAGAGTGGGGTGTGCCCTGGGGATGGGTGGGTGGAAATGGGGTGGGGAGAAGGAGGGTTAGGTGCCGTCTCAGGCTTCTGCAGCTCAGGTGTGTTCTCGACTCACCTGGCAGGTCTTTGGCACTGACATTGTCCTCGGTACCGTGCACGGGGAGGTACCTCTTTCCGTAGCTCGTTCTGCCTCTACAGCAGAGCGGAGAGGGGCCTTTTTGGAAAGTTCTGCATCTTTTTTTCTTTTGTTTCCTTTATTTTCTTTCTTTTTTTTTCAGTAGTTGCAGGTCAAAGGAAACACATTCAGGTGTCCCATTTCGGGCGAGTCCACTCCTGAATCCACAGGCCACGTGCACCGGAAGGTGGCACGAACCCCACTTGTCCCTACCTCTAAAAGCTCTTAAAGAAGATACTGTTGGAGATGCTCAGTGTCCCCTGTTCTCGGCCATGACCTCTTCTTTACATAGACATCAACCGGGGAGGGGCCGCAAAGGTCAAGCTCAGTAAAACAAACGCTTTGCGATGAGTCGCCCAGAGAAAGATGGTTGGTAAAGGGCGCACTGTACCCCTGGTCTTACTGAGGTGTGTTTTCAGTCTGGGCTGCACAGTCAGCGTCCGGCCGAGACTTACAGGGAGGCCAGCATTGGCCAAAACATCAGCCCCTTCTGACCTGTTTCACCTTGGGATGTCCGATGAGACCGACCTGGTAATTTTGTGCACTAACATACGGACCTAGAAAGAAAAGCATATCTCACGTCTTCAGACTATAAAATGAACAATAATAATAACTATTATTATTATTAATAGTGGATATTATTATTAACTGTTACTATTCTTATGGTTATTTTGGAGACCTGTGCATAATTTTTTTTTTTAAATAAGTGAAACACCATCCTTCATACAATAAAAAAAATATATATATCCATAGGCATATTATCATGCATACGCATATTTTTTAGGTTTAACTCTTACTGTCCAGGATTTTCTAAATGAGATGGAAATAGAGTCAAGACACACGGAATGCATTGCCTCATTCTGAACAAATATGCAAGAACAACAAGTGTCCGGATGCCATGGTGACATTGTTCTTGATAAACATCGTCATCACCCATTGGCCATGAAACGCAAAAGAAAAATTAAACAGAATCCCAAGAGCACCTGATACCGTTGAAACTTTCCTTTGATAGATACTCATGCCCCGTTTTGGAAGTGGCAAGTACTCTGTTCACAGTCGCTGGTAGGGCATAAATAGTCCATCAGTGAAAAATACCAATTTAATCAAAATGAATTCTAAACACATGGGTCACTCTGCCTATAATTAAAAAATAGTTTTCTCAGTGGGGACCTTTTGAAATCTACATATCTGTGATCCTACATAATCCATGTGTGACGATTGGAAGCAAATCCATGGAAGTGATCATAAAACTCATTTCAGAAAAAAGTGATAGATTTCTTTTATGCAAATGAATGAGAGGGCAATGTTGTCTTACATAAAAGTACTTAAAAATGTCTTTAGGAGGTGCGGATACCCCAAGAAAGAACTATATCAGGGTGGGTTTTCTTTTCTTAATGGAAATTTTATCCCCATGCTTTTAGTTGCATCTATAAAGCTAAGAAGGAAATAAAATCACAATTAATTATATACCCTATCACACACCTGTATTGGCCAACTTCTGATCCCTTCCCAACAAAAGTCAGAATCCCGCTGAACATAAATGTATCTGTTGGATGCAATGGGTCTATCTTGATGGCTGCCGTTGACATGACAGAATATGCAAAATACATTCCAGCCACAAGATACAATGTATCCACTTCACACCATCCATGCCCAGGGCTCAGCTGCACCATCACCTCTGTCATTGTCTAGAATGTTTTGTTTAATTCTTCACATCTCAACCAAAAGACCCACATGCTAAATATTTGCCTGATGTGGGATGCATTTTCCATTCCTGGGTTGAGCTAAGTTGCACCATTTCAATTGTGAGCATATGGCCGATGCTGTTAACGAAAAATCCCCACACACCTCTCTGTGTTCCTGTCTCTGATGCATGCGTTCAACTTGAGGGGCTGACGTCCACCGACCAAAAACAAAGAGGAAAGCACATAAAAAGTTGTGTGAATAATAGATTTGGATAGTTTGTTTGGTGTGTGTATGTGTGTGTGTGTGTGTGTGTGTGGATTGATGGAATATGTGGGGGCTGTTTCCACCAACCAAAACATTTTCACATCCAGGTTGCTTTGCAAATGTTGTGGGTTGGCACCCAAGGGAGCACCTCCTTCCTGAATGGGAAGACGCTCTGTCACCATCGTCTGTAAATCACTGTGTTTTAAGGCTCGCGTCCCTCGGAGGTGTCACAGTGCACACTCTCTGTTATTTAAGTAAAAGTCATGACATATGTGTTGTAGTGGATGGGATTGGAAGCCATGTGACCCACAAGCCATCTCTGTTTATGCTCCCTATCTGTCCTGTTTCTCGCACTGTGCCGTGGACAACTGGCCGGGTTCCCACAAGCTTCTAGGCCCACGAAACTGCCATAGGATGCTGAAGTCACGCTACTGAGTGCCTTTGCAAGTGGGGCACACCCAGCAATTCACCACTGTGATCCCTGCGGGGTTGTCCCAGCTTCTCATGTGTGTGGGGGGTTGAGTGGGGGCGGGGCGGGGCGGGGGTGGGGAGCTGTTTTTAATCCCATCAATTCCTTGCACAATGAAAATCACTGTGATTTGTATATATGCTCTAGGAAAATTTTACTGCTGTCTAATTTATGGAATAATACTATTGATTCCAGGTTTGTTTAATAAAACTTTGTACCTTTTAAGAAGTCCGATTCCGGTCTGCGTTTTCTGTCTCGGGATGAGCTATCGGCTGGCTGCTTTTGTGTAGCCAAGGAGTCTGCACTTTTTTTCTCTCTGTAACTTAAATTTAACGTTGCATTGAGATATCATGGACATGTAACATTGTATTAGTTTCAGGTGCACAATATAACAATTGAGTGTGTGTATGTATCGCAAAATGAACACCCCAATAATCTTGAGTCAATCTCCATTACTACACATTGTTATACACTTTTTTTCTCACAATGAGACCTCCTGAGGTCTACTCTCTTAACAACATTCAAATACATACTACAACGTTATTCTTTTTTTTTTTTTTTTTTTTTTTTGGTAAAGGGCCAGATGATTGGCCATGGGTATCTGAAACCATACAGAGTTAAACCATGGATAAGGTGGGATACTGTGCATTGGACATACAACATTGAGTAAGTTCAATGTATGCACCATGTTGAATTGATACATTTCTTATTTCTTTTTCTTTTTTTTTATTGATTTTAGAGAGAGAGGAAGAGAGAGGGAGAGATAGAAACATTGAAGAGAGAGAACATCAATTGGCCGCTTCCTGTACGCCCCCTCCTGGGGATCGGGACCCCAACCTGGGCATGTACCTTCACTGGGAATCCAACCAGTGACCTCTCGGTGCAGGGTCAACACTCAACCACTGAGCCACACCAGCCACACTAAATTGGTCCATTTCTATGTTACAATATGATGGCCCTTGAATCGTTAACCAGCTCCTCTATCCAGTCACAAAATTGTCATTTTGTGTGTGTGATGGGGATAATTAAATTCTAGTCTCTTAGTAAGTCGGACGATTCTAATACAATGCTGTTGTCTGTATTCACTATGCCCTGCATTAGATTTCCAGGACTTTTTTATCCACTAGCTGCAAGTGTGCCATCTTAAACACCATCTTTCCTATTTCTCCCTTCCTATGGCTGGTAACCACCATTCTATCATTTATTTTTATAAGTATTTTTCTTTACATCCCACCTATGAGGTAGATCATATAGTACTTATTCTTTTCCGACTTCTTTCACGTAGCATGGTGACCTCCACTTTCTTCCCAGGTGCAAAGAGCGAGGTCTCCTTTTTCAGGGCTGCGTAATATTCCATTTTGTACACATACCACATTTTCTTTATCCATTCGCTGGGCATTTGGGTTGTTTTCCAATGTTAGCTATTGTGAGTCATGCTGCAGTGAACATGGGGTGTAGTATCTCTTTGACATTCAAATTAAAACCGCAATGAGATATCACCTAACAACTTAACATGTTAGGATGGAGATCATCAGTAGCATGGCCAAACACAAGTGATTGCAGGGATGTGGAGAAAAGGGAGCCCTCCTGAACTGTCAGTGAGATTTCAAGTTGGTGCAGCCACTGTGGACAGCAGTATGAAGCTTCCTCACAATAAACAAATAAATAAAAATAAAAGAGCAGTCCCGTGCGATCCAACCATTGCACTTCTGGGTACTCGTCAGCTTTCAACATTTCAAAATACTATGAAATAGGATATCTGCCCCTTTCAGCGTAGCGACGTCGAGGCCAAGACAGACTAAGTGATTTGCGTAAGATCTCACGGTTAATAAATCGTGGGGCTGAGATTTAAACCCCGTCTGTTCCTGCTCATTCCAATGAGCATATGATGTTCCAATAATAAAACTAGGAGGACGTTCATTGAAGAAACGAAGAGCCAGATTGTCTAGCGTTGGCTGAAAACATTGGATACCGGGCAAAACTGGCAGATGCCAAAAAAACTACAATGCGTGCGTGGAGGAGGGAATTGGGGGCTTGACATTTCGCTTTCAGGCAGGAAACCAGGGTCGGCTTCTAGCCCAAAGAAGCCACCGTTTCTGAGAATCGGGTTTATTTTCACAGTTGCCTTCCAGGGGGATACGCAACAGACCGTTTTATAAACCGTGACGCTACAAAGGCAAAGGCATTTTTGTTTTGTTGTGAAGAAAACACATACCGTGAAATGTTTACCCTCTGATCCACATCCCAGCGCACAGCACAGTATTGTCACCTCCTCTCTCCAGCTCAGTCCGTTTGCAACATCCAAAGTCCTAGCCACTGATACCCTGTCTCCCTCTCCTTCTGCCCCTGGGTTTCTGCTCAAATCGGAAAAGTCAGAGACCTGGCCGCCCGGGTCTTAGATTTCACGTGAGACTTTTTTGAGTTCTGAAGGA